AAAATAAGTTCCGATAGCCTGTGGTTTTCTAGGTTCTAGAGTCAGACAGAGGCTAACAATCTTCCATTTCTACGGTCGTATATCAGTCTAGGGTTAAGCTAATCAACACTCGATTAGCGTTACTTGTACGTTTCTGCTACCGAGAAATTCGGATCATATGATTCAAGATGAAGCATCAATGTGTTTCTTTCGAAGTCTCCCTTTATACTTTTATCATGCTCTTGCTTGATTATTTCCTAATAAAGCTGGAAACAAATGAACTATGTTATGGTTTGAATGACCTGTTAGGTATAGATTTCTTCAGAAAAAAAATCATCGTATGGAAGACAACATAATAATAAGTTATTGTTTTGAATGAAAAGTTGTTCTAGTTAAAAACAAATATATTTTTTGTGTTACCCACTTTTATCGGAACGGTTTTCTGTCATTAACAGAGAGAGTGAGAAGAGAGATAATTAAAATAAATTATATTTGAAATTATCAAATAATTTAATAATAATATTGGATATTTGAAATTGGCTTTGTTGAATATCTATTTCATTGTACGTTGACTTTTTTTGGTATAGAAATAATATTTTTAAAATAAATTGAATATCAATAAGATTATTTCGACGAGAAATTTATTGAATATTATTATGTTCTTTGTAATTTTTAGAAGAATTAAATTTTATAGCTTTGAATAGAATATTGTAAAAGAAATTTTTTCGTATGAATTTTTTATGAAATTTTAATAAATATTATTCTTATCCATTCCCTGGTTGCGTTTGTTGATAATTTAGAATAAAAAAAAACTCTAAGTAAATTATAGTCTTAATTGAAAAATAATAAAAGTTAATATTAAAATATTATTAGTTTAATGTGTATTATTATCAATTAATTTAGTAATTCCTGTTCAATCAGTTCAAGTTAATCGTGCATATTTGATAAAAATATATTTTGCGAGTAACCTAAAATGAGATGAATTTACTTTTTATGATCATACAGAAAAAATTCGTCAACATCGCATGGGATCAATGTTTGACTTAACTCCTTATGTACAAGTATTTAGTCTTCCAGCAAAAAAATGAATTGCGAGATTAAAAGCAAAAGTAACAGCTGCGATGTATAAAGCAACAATAACGGTATTAAATCTGAATGATAATTTTTAAATTATTAACATAGAAAAATACGGGAAAAAAAGATAAATGTGATGATAAAACATCAATTGTGTAGTAGTAAGTAGCAATCATAGATACGCACGAAACTTCATCCAGCGTATACATTTAGTTCTATTCTTTGATTTCTATCTCAGTCAAAGTAAAAAAATCCACGAAGTGCATATCGTTTAGCATTCTTTTATACAATTTACACATTACATTATCGTATATTGTACTAGTTCATAATATTAATTAAAGCGGTTATATTGACCTAGTAGTTGATTCAATTGCAATTATGAACTGGTGATTTTGACCGATACATCACTGCTTTCTTCTCGATTTATCATAGTAAAGCATGAATTATTGCTAAAAATGATATGAGTTTTGTGACATGAATTTGGTTTTCTACAGGTATGATTTCGCATAAGGCTATATTTTAATCTACAATTATGAACCATTTCGAACTAAAGTTTTCATTTTCTAATAAATCATCATATGTAAATGTGGTGGCAGTGAATATTAAGGACAATTCCAAACTCACTAGATGAAATATGAGCTGTACAAGATTCAGCATCTAAGTGAAGCATTGTTAAAATTTCAAACCAATCATAATTACAGAAATATTTATTTCTTTACATCTTTTCTGTATTTTTTCTTTGTTTTCTCTATAACGTCTTGTGCGAAAGTTTCTGGACAAAATGTTCGTTCATTTTCCGATCAATTGCAAGAGTTAGCCAAATTTTAAAAACACTGTGTTAGAATCAAAATTTTATGCTCTCTCGGAATCTGTGTTCAGAACTTTTGTGAGGCACTCAGATTAAAAACTATACTTGAAGTTTTGGAAGGCGCGAAAATAACGTTTGGACGAAACTGCATGAACTGAAGAATTTAGAGACGGAAAATCCGGTCATGTCCGATTTGAAATTGATTAAATGATATTTTTCTTATTTTCTAATTAAAAACATTCAATATAACTTAGTTTCAGTTTTCTTTGCTTAATCGCATAGCAGTTTGGATCTTTTTCGATCAGCAATTGGGTTGTATACGCCCTCCAAAGTGATAATTAACTTATTATATATTATCCATCTTTTTTGACAGTGTAAAGAGCATGATGGTCCTCCAGAAGCTGAGAATTGATAGTTTTTCACCAGTTTTTCAGAAACAATGGAGGTAATTTTGATATGCGAAAAATAATCTTTTCCAAAAACGTCATTGAACCTTTTACTAAGACTCTTACTATTCGAAGAAGCTTCAAAGGAGACTAATTATTAGAATACAGTTTTATAAGGAAATATTTGCTGTATCTCTTGCAGTACGCAGAATAATTTTTTACATATATCTTGGATTCTATTTTTGGTATTGAAAACCGTCCAAACGTTATTTTCGCGCCTTTCAAAACTTCAACCATAATTTCTAATCTAAGTGTCTTACAAAAATTCTGAACACAGATTCTGAGAAAACACAAAATTTTGATTCTAACACAGTGTTTTTAAAATTTGGCTAACTCTTGCAATTGATCGGAAAATGAACGAACATTTTGTCCAGAAACTTTCGCACAAGACGTTAGAAAGTCTTTGACAATAGCTCGCATTGCAGTTATGCTAGTATATAATTCGTGTAACCGATGTTCAGATATTGTTTTTCGTGAACTATTATGAGAGTTGAATTTTAATCGAATATCTTCAAAACTAATTAATTTTTAGATACTAGAAAGTAAAAAGTAATAGAAAAACATCGAAAAATGGTCATCAGTTGTAGTTTATAGAACAAATAAAAGGTGAGAGATTGGTCGTTGCTTTTTTTTTCTAGCTGTGTGATAATGCTGGATACGGATTATGATACGATCACTACAAGAGAAAAATAAGATGTATCTTACTGTTTGTCGATACATGTTTTTACAAAAACGATCTCAATAATGAAATATCGAACGCAACGAAACTTTGTTATGTATTTGCATGAAAACAAAGATAAATAATGAATTGTTTTTAATATTTATCTACTATTGGATGAAATAGAAGGTGATATTATTTGGAATCGTGCGTGTCTAAATGCAATTTAATTCTTTGTCTTAGTCTGAGAACAAAGTATTTTTTATCATTAAAAAAACCAAAAATAAATCAACTAAATAAAATCATATCTGAATTTAAATATTCACAGTTATTATTACTCTTTTGTAGTTGAAAGCCATCGTTATTGTTGCATAGATAATTGCAATTGTTTTTCATTTGGTTGTGATGATGGACGTGTTGATCCTATTGGAGTTACTTTAGGTTTAGGTATTTTAGCTAAAATTTCTTTCATTTTCTTCCCATCATTATGTGGTAGATCAGCATCATAAGTTGTCAACAATTCGTAGTATTGTAGTACAAGTTTAACAATATCATAAATTCGTTCAACATCGATTTGCGCTTCAATCATATATTGTCTAATTATTCCCACTTTATCACGATATCTTGCAGCAAGTACAATACAAGCAAGTGCTATCTCATAAGGTGGATATAAAAGTGGAGCATCAGTTTTTAATGAATCATTTATGATACGCCATGTAGCTTCAAATAATGGTTGATCTATTTGAAATTCACGTGTGTATGTATCTAATGAACGATAGGGATGATAAATAATTAAACAACAATCCATTATTTCAAGTAAATAAAATTCACATTCAAGAATATGCTTTATTTGATATGGATATTCATTTGGACCACCTAAAAATGAGCATCGAATTTTTATTCTGTAATGTTTAATGGCCATCTTAATGTTAAATATGATTATAAAATGCTCGGTATATCAGGATGATCTTCGTAGGTTTTCCTTCTCTCAGAAAAGAAAAATTTTGAACAAAGTGCAGAAGAATAATGCGTAGATCTTTGAAGGTGTTTGTCTGAAGCAAAATTGATTTTAGGATAAAAATTTATCTGTTAAAGTTGATTTAGATTTGTCTTTTCCATGTAGCCTATTCAAAAAGGTTTTGTAAGTACTAGATTAAAATAAGATCTATATCAGTAAGATTTGGCGAAGAGAAAATTCTTTTAAACAATTGATTCTATTTGGCTTCATCAAATACTTAGTAAAATATCAGCATATTGGTAGCATAAATGTAATCTTTTATTTAGTCCCTTATGATCGTCTTGATATCGTTTCTCGTTCGTTCAGAATTGTTAATTCGTCATAATAATCTATTGTTCTCTAATCTGTTCAAGTCAATTTAATTCTATTAACGAATAAAAATTCCATATTATATACATACGTTATTAGATTAATTATTTGCGTGTAAATTCAAAAATAATTAATATCATTAGTTGACATAAATGTTTATCTTACTCGATAATAACTCACCCAATATGTGTGCAAATTTTTTGTATACAGTTGAAGCAGCATTACAAACTCTTTGATGATTAAGTGTTGAAAATTCTTCGACTTTAGCTGCAAGAAATAAACAAGTTGGACATAGAAGCCATGGATCAATACTTTTTAATGGATATCTTGCATAAAATCTTTTTAAATAAATAATTGCTGTGGCTATAACTTGTTGGCGAACTTTATATTGTTCACCAATAGATTGAATTATATTTGAATAAAAAATAAGAATTTTCATATAATCATCTTCTGTTACTGATGACGAACCATTACTTGAAGGCCATGATGCAATATCACGAAGACGAACAGACATCAATTCTTGCCGATCAAATAACCATTGCTCAAATTGAGAACTTTTCCAATAGGATGCAGCCATTTTCTTTTTCTTATCTGAAAATAATACATATAGAAGATGTGTACATGGCTAAAATTAATTTTAATATACACTCAAACAAGCAAAAAGAGGTAAAAAGTTTATTCAAGAAATAAATATTAATTTAATCTTCATTATTTGTAACCTTTGTCAGCTAGTTCTTGGCGAACACGTAACAAATATGTTGGATCAGGATAACCAAAACTAAATAGAAACATGGATTATTGTGTTTTTTATAGTTTTATTTTTTGAAGTTTCTTACTGCTCAGCTCCTCCACTGATATTTGTCTTGTGATGGATATCATTCCATATTACAACATTGTCTAATCCTCGTGTTGCGGATTTACCTATTGTAAATATATGTTGATCATCAAAAGCTTTTCGTAATAATTGTAACACATATTTCCCTTCAGAATTGTTCGGTAAATAAGCTTTACGGACTGTTCCTGTATAGGGTTGACCAGGATATGAATTTAGAGGACCTTGTATACCAGACGGAATTGTGTAAGTTATTTCAATAGTAGGTCCTTCATTGGATGCATACTGTTCAATAGAAAAACCAGATAAAGGTGTCGATATATAAGTAATTATCATTTGACCATGCGGAGGCTGAGGACCTTAAAATAAAAATGTTATTCTATCGAAAGATCATTGAACGTACGTATTATACCTTTATTTAAACCGTATATGTACCCACAGGTAGGACACGTCTGTTTTCCACTTGACTGTATCCATTGTTTAATGCAACTATCATGAAAACTATGTTGACATATAGAAAGTGTAGTATATGGTGGTCCCAACTCATCAAGACATATGGGACAATTGATACTTTCCATGGTTTGGGTATTTGATTTTAGTAAATTTGAACCTATGCAATCAATAAAAAAAAAGTAAGTGCTAATCTCACTTATTTATCTATATGTTATGAATTTTGAGACAAAAAACTTACTTTGTACGACTGGTGAGCTTTCATCAATATCCATGAAAGATGAATCTTGTCTTTCACAAAATCCAATAAGACTATTCGTTTTCAATTGTAGTTCTTCTTCAAATTTTTTCTCCCAATCATCACATATTACTAAAATAGGTTTGATATCCATTGGAAGATCATCAAAACTACTATTGACCCATGAACGTAACTGAATAAATTTACATAAAATACATCCTGATGAAGAGCAACATGCACAATGTTTATGTTGATGATAACAATCAGATGTTTCAACATTGGATTTAATATTACTGCGGCAAACTAAATTCGATATTATAAAACGATGTCATTTTTTTTGTATGTCCGTTAAATTACTAACCCGGACAAATAGTATTCTTAGATATGAATTCTGATACATTGATGTACCAACAACAAGGACAAGCCGATTGACATGATCGATTATTTATCTTACACTTATTACAAATAATATGATTTGTACAGTTGGATAACTTCTGAGACCCGATTAATGGTTGGTTACACCATTGACAAGATTGATTTTGAACGTAATTGGTGGCCATCTGAAAACACATTAATATGTTTCGATAAGTATATATAAATCTATATTTGAAACAAAACAAAAATAGGGGGGAAAGCAACACAATATGTCGTACACGATAAAACGGAAGAAAGAAATATCACAGTAAATACAAAGATAAGCTTTATTAATAAGTATCCATAACCGTATTTGATTCATAATGATTGAAATTATGTGATTGGAAGACATGAAAATGATCTCGACGCGATCGTTTGAATTCTTAAAGAATATTTAAAGAAATAAAACAAAAAACTTAATAAAATTAATTGAAAAATTTACTTGGTTCATCATGAGTCTGATAAACATGTCGACAACATGGACAACATGGTTTTTCTTTAAACCATTTTTCAATACATTTTGAATGAAAACGATGTTGACATACATCAAGTATTTTCACTGGATTATTATAACTTCCGTGCAAAGGTTCAATACAAATAGAACACGGCTCACGTTCAACTTCCATGCGTTGAACACAGATTTGCATAAGATAAAGTATATTTTGAATTCTTGGTTCATGTTCACGATATGATAAAGAAAAAAATTCTTGTTTAGTTTCTTGACGAAATGAACATAAAATACATTTTTGACATTGACAACATAATGAATGGCCCTTGTTATCATATTTTTTTCTTTCATCTAATGGTTTAATACAACCAGCACATAAACAATCTCTTATTATCAATAGCTGAGCAAGGTTATGCCAACATGAAGGACATGATGATTGGCAAGCATGACCAGATAAATGGCATGAAGAACACAAATTATGTTTTTCATCATCTTCTGATTTACAATATGTTATCTCGTTTGATAATGTTTCATTGTGACACCACGAACAACTAACCATCATTTTTTATTGAATATATTTATACATTTAATCGGAACATTTCATTTACAAAATAATGGGAAAAGGACAACACGCCTCCACACGATATAATATGAAACAAACCAATAGAAATCGTTTTTATTTCAAATATCATTTAACACCATCTATTGAATTTTTAAAACCTATTAATAGAAATAAATATTTTTTCCTTTACTATATTATTCGCATGTATAATCATTATATTGTTTACATACATGCTACGCATACTATTTCATTATTCTGGTTGACTACACAACTAATCATATAATCATGAAAGTTTAATGAGATAAATATATCAAGCTTTGCTTATATGTAGAAGGAAGATAGATAATAAATTAATGGTTCATCGCATGATTTTCTATTGAATATTCGATTTTAAACATTCATATCTTGATTGTTTCTAATGTTGTATCGATTTCGAATCAATTATACGAAATCATATATTTAACGTAGACCCCAATATTTTGTTTGGTCACAAATCAATTTATTCTTTCCAGTTCAACTCAAATTTTAAATTTACTCTGAGATACACATTTGAGTCAAGATTATTTCTCTTCATTATATTTAGTGTTGTTCGAACATTTAATCATACACATATGCTTAAATAAACTCTGAAGAAAGGAGAGTTGAACAAAATACTTCAGTATAGACAAGCTTCGAAAATGCAGGACACTGCGTTGTAAAATTTCTACGACGGGAAATCACTATGCAGATAATTTTGAAAAGTAGGAAGTATCAAGTTTCACGTACTGATTGAAACATCTACTTTTTCTTTTCATAGACATCAAAAGTATTCATACTTCAAGAAAGTACTTTTTTAAAATAATTTTTTATCAAAATCAATTGTGCGCTGCAACTCAATTGTTAATGAAGGAGTGTAACACCTGCTGAGTACATTGCAACGAAGTTTGGTATTCATCATTTTCTATTGATATCTATTCTATATTTTCTTGTTTTTAACTTCGACTAATACTAAAATTCGACTTTCAGCATAATTCTACTGATAAAAATATTCTCCGATATATTATTATAATTGATTCATTGAAACAAAATGTTAGTGACTTGCAGACAACGTTAAAATCAAAGAAAAACGTGAAGAGTGAGATTGTAATATTTTAGAAAAGTTAATCTCACAAATAATTCAAATTAAAATAGAGAATATATTTTATAGAGGTGTCAGGTTAGCATTAAAAATGGAAATAGTGCATTGGTGTATTATGGTAAAGAAAACACATAATGCGGATTTATTCACTAATTTATCATTCCTAACACCGATACTACTTTTAATTGTAAAGATTTATTATTAATCAAATGTCCTTGAGAAATAAATCAATGCATTATTTTCACTTTTAATGTTAACCCGACACCTCTAATATTGTTAAAATAATTGTAGTCTATTTCAATTGATGAGCACATGTGACAGAAATCCCGACAGACTTTGAAATCTGTTTGCTACAGGATAAATAGATCAGCATAAACTATCTATTTCTAGGTAATAATATGTTCTTCAGAACGTTTTTAGTACTAGAATATGAGAAATAAGATTTGTTTAATTCTTTTTACTCGAAATCATCATGAATAATATAATTGAATAATTCGTATCATTCTACGATTTGTCTCTTTTCTACAACTGCGTACTTTGTTTTTAAATGATATTCTGTAGTAGAGTGTTAGACTTTTTCTTTTGAGATATTTTCTGAATTTTATGAGATTTTTTAGTATAGAATTGGTATCTGCAAAATATAGCATGAATCAACAAGTTTATAGTCGTACATGAGAAAGTAAAGTTCTGGAAACAGTAAGTCTCTTTGAATTCTGGCTAATGAATATTGGAAATCTCGATAGTTCTATGTTATTTTTTATATTGGTAATGTACAGCTATTACATTTATCCGAATGTACCCTGAAGACAGACTAAGTTCTTCATACCCTCCAAAATGATGGATCAGATTTATAAATTTTCATCTTAAACAAGAATAATTTTCCCCTGAGTCTTAAAGTATCAAACAGTCAGTCGGCTTCAAAACATTTTACAAAAGTGATATTGACATTTTTTTTCTGTATAAATATATTTATTTTCAAACGAATATGTTGAAATTAATAAATATACCAAATGACTATTGAAAAGTGATGTTTATGTATCATATTCTCGTGTTCCTATTACATGAGAGTTGCCGTTAAATCGATGAGTTCTAGATCTAATGATTTCATCTTATTGTTTTGTTTAATGTCTACGTCTGGTATTAATGCTGCATAAAACACGTTTTTGCTTCGTCTTGTTAGGAATTCTGATCTAAATTGTTTAAATTTTCATAGTACCAAAAAAAGAAAAATGATTGTTTATAAAAAAAAAAAGATAAGATTACTTGTTCCAATAATAGTAATTTAATAAAGTTTAGGATATTTGTGAAGTTATTTTTGCTATCAAACAGCTAAAATTGAAAAAAGAAAAGTTTGAATTTCCTAATGATTTCATTAATTACTTCAGAATATTTTTTATGCTTTCAATTATTGACGTGCAGGTGAGACGAACAATTTTGTTGAAAATATAAATTGATGCTTTCTTGAGGTGAAGAACAATTCATCAACACACGGTGAAAACTAAAAATTTTATAATAATATTCAAAACTTTAGAAAGTTGAACACTGCTGGTGCCGGTTGGATCTAAAAGAAGATATTCTGTAAAAATTAAACTAAGTATTCGGTTTTGCTTTTTGTTGTCACTTATGAGAGTTGTCTAAATAGTCTATTTTTCATCATTGTTATTATCTTTCATCAATAGTAATGTATGTTATTAGATCAGCCATTAGTTCCTCTTATTCGAAAATCTCAGAAAATAAAGTTAATGTTTTTTCGATCTAATGAGGAAGTCTTTCAACATTTGCATTTGATTGAACATTATCTATGAAATAGTACGCTAATTCAGTTGAGTATTCTGTCATATTCTATCTATGCCAGTAAAATTAAACTGAACACGACACAGTAGAGCATAAAAAGTCACCCTCTAGACACCTTTACTTGTGACTATGAATCATCGTTTTGTGTCAGCAGACAGAAAAAAGACAAATATGCCAGTTCATACATATTAGATTATATTTTTATACCTTCATTTTTTTGTATTTATTTCTCAGTGAAATAAGTAAACCAATAAAAAGCAATATCAATCGATAAAGTGTTTCGGGAACAGTAAATATAAGAAAAATGATTGTAGATTTCTTATCTCCTTATGTCAGTGCACCTATGATGAATGATTATATTTTAGTTATAAACCATGAGCTAACAACCATATTAAATACAGATGATGTTGCTGATAACGAAAGGAATGTTTTTGTAGCATCAGACGTCTAGAATGTTGACACCAAATATAACTCAAGTAAAAGAAGTCATAAAAATAAAAATTATGACTCTCCAGAAAGTTCTCTTTACAATGAACTTATTTAACTGCATCTTCTTTGCTACATCACACCTAGAACATTTCGATCTGCACATACCTTACATTACATACAGATATTATAGTAAAATGAACAAGCAATTTTAAATAAGCAAAACACAACTCAATTAGTATATTATCGCATAAACTATAATGACCTATATGTTTTTGTATAATTATTTATTTCGCATCATTTAGTAATCTTATTTTTAATATAATACATACGTTACGTGATATTGTTAAAATTTCTACAAGTTATATGAAAAATTCATGTTTTCTGTATGCATTTCTTGTTCTCCAATTTGATTGTCTTCTATGAAACTGATATTTTGTTGGTTTGAAAAGTCTAATATTTTGATTATAGAAAAATTATATGGACATGGTTCTTTGAGTTTCACGGAATCGTTTACATAATGTGAAGAAAATTTCAGATCTTTCACCAAGAATCAAGGAAAATCACCAAATATTTGTGATTTTCATCTGAATACTTTAGATTCCAATGTATGAGATGCTATCAATAATAATCTGTGGAGTAATAAACTAGGATTTATATATGTAATTAATACGAGAAAGAATCTGTCACAGACTCATCATAAATGATCTTATATTTTATCACGCCGCTCATGTTGAAAAGCAAACTGTGCGTATATATAAAAATGCGGAAACATCGGATTTGCATCCGATTGTTATGTATACTGCAAAAACTGAGTCGATTTATATATGTGGTGAATAATTTTGAGAAAATGTTCTTTTGAAAAATCCCTGTACCCCTCCCCGCTCCCCCCTTCAGAGATGGTCTGGCCAATAATGACAATTTTTTCGATAACTCAGCCATTTCTTGACGGATCCTTTTTATCTTCGAACTCGGCCGAGATATTGATGAGATCATTCTGTGTACAAACTTTCATGACAATCGGATCAGCCTTTCAGGAGCTATCGTGTAAAAGGCCGGACACACTGACCGATTCTATAGTGTACTCACTTTTGTTGTTTGAGTACACAAAAATGATCATCAATTATCACTTACCTAGTAATTCATGCCTATTCTTAAATGAAAATGAGATTGAGCCCTTTCAAGTATCCTTAATAACCTCGGAAAAACTCTACTCATCTTCATTTCCTTCTTATCGTCTATACGATGCGTTTCAGGTGAGAGAGAGTACATGATCTACGGTTCATGCTTGAAAAATAAAATAGAAAGAAATAGGAAAAAAGTTTCCTATGAATGTTTTATTCATCCTACACAATATTCATTCAAATACAGAACACTGCCTAACTACAAGCAGTTTTCAATATCTAAAAATCAGTAATCAATTGTTTGTTACTGATTGAACTCACACATCCAAGTTGAGACTCATTTTTCAAGTTTGTGCAATTCATTTTGAGGGAACGATGAACTATTGCTCTCTCTCTCTCTGTCGGATATATATTATTTGAAATAGATTTTTTCTTACATTTTATTTTGAGTATGCTTATTCATTGTGTTTAACTTCTACAATGCTGAGAAAATTCGATGATGAAGCTTCTGTTTATTTATTTCACCTGAATATGCATTCGAAAATATTTTCTAACGTAGTACAAAATTGCAATTCATATAGTTTTAATTATGATAAAGAAATTTTCTACACAAATATACTTCACATATATTCAATAAAAAAGATTTTATTTCATCGACTACATCACGCAATGCCTCATTCGATTAAACGTAAAATTTCTCTTACAGAACACAATAGAGATACGTAAATTTTAAATGGAAATAGAATATTATGTGATGAAATTGTTTTCATTAATATTTTATAGTAAAATAATAGAAGAACAGCGATCATGTCTTGACCTCGTTATATAAAAGAGCATTACGAATGCGTCTTTGAGCACGTATTTCTTCAAACGCTGAGGATGTTCCACTTGTTGCTCCACCAGTGCTTGTTGTACCAGTATTTGCATTTGAATCTTTATTAAGTAATCCTAATGCTTGTTTCATTTTGGTTGTTTCACTAACTTGAAACCATTCTTTTGGTATCATTGAAAGAAGAACAGCAGTAGATGAACACAAAATAGCTGATATAACGAGAGGTGAATAATTAATATTAAACAAATAACGATCAATGACTGAAATGATTCAAATAGAATAAATAAACATTGAGAAAAAAAGCAAAAAGCAACTTACTAGACGTTGAAGGTATTACCAAAAGTAAGCAAGCTACATTTGCTATTGAACTATATTTGAATGGAATTACGATTGTCAGAACATTGAATACTTAAAGAAAAAGAGAATTTTTTGTTTCGACATAATTATTCTAACTTACTGAGAGTACAAATCAATGTAGCAATAGTTAATGACCATCGAATATGTTTGTACTCTAATTGTTCGATTTGAGTAAAATGAAGAAGTAAAGCAAATGGCCATAGAAGGCATGTTCCACAAAAACACACATTGATCATTACAATTCTCAGTGTCGTATTTGATAAATCTTCAACAAAACTATTAACAAGGATCTTTTTCAAGAAAAAAAAATAAACTCATTCATTTTGATTGAAAGATTTTCAAAAATGAAAATTATTACATCAAAAGTTGTTTTCAATCCAACAGCACAAGCAACCATCGAAAGGCCAAGTAAAAATGTATTGAAACGAAATCCATCGTTATGAGCAAGAAACAGTAGAGCTGATAAAGCAACTATATAAGCAATAACCTATTTAACACGAATATATATATATATTTATATTTTTAAAGAAAATTAATTTAATTAACAAACCTTATTACCGATAAATTGCTCATGTAAAAAGATCCATCCAAAAAGTTGTCGCGATGTTACTGTTATTGAGTAAAGAATGATAATTTCCATAGAAATGAGAATTGTCATTGAACGAATAATTAAATAACAAGTTAAATACCAAAGAAAACATAATGCACAAGTTTTTATTAAACAATCAACTAGTGTGTTATTTGATGATGACTTTCCGTTATCAAATATTTGACCAAATTCTCTAGTATAAACGATGAACTCTTTTTTCCTTATAAGGCAATTATAGATTCAATTCTTTTTCTATGAAGAACTAAATGTTACTTACAAAAACAATCAGAAAATTGTGTTTGTCTCAACATGGTGACTACTATTTACGTCAACGGAAAAGGAAAAAAATGACTAAAATATAAGCATAATCTCGTTGGACCCATTAATAACTGATTATTCAAACCCTTGAAAAAAAAATTTTTCAGACCATTTCTATTCATAGAAATATGCCCGAAGAAAGAGAAATGTCAAACATTTTTATGAGTAGTTCATGAAAATAATAAAAGAAGATACGTGGCTTCTCTTGTCTTGTCTACTGTTTAGTGATAATTAGTATTTTATTAACTTTATTCATTTGATGTATGTTGAAAAAAAGTGAAAGTTTCTGATTAACTGATATATATATGTCAGCGTCCAATCTCGGATTCAGGTCAATCTAAGATTCGCCTAGGCCAATGTTAGATGTCAATTATGGCCTAGTCGAAACTGAAATTTCAGTTTCGACTAGGCCATAATTGACATCTAACATTGGCCTAGGCGAATCTTAGATTGACCTGAATCCGAGATTGGACGCTGACATACATATATATATATGTGTGTGTGTGTTTTCTTTACCTGAGAAATACAGCTGTTGTTCGACGACGTGATGAACGTCGTTGAACTAAGATTGAATGCACTATGAAACAATTAATGAATAGAAGACTATTAAAAATCCAAACACAAGTAAAAAAGGCACTAATGGGATATATGTTTTCTTCTGTTAAATTTGTTTGATTATTCGCTGTTGTAAAATTAGAAATTTTGTTAGATGATTTCAATGAAAATTGTTTTCGTTGAATTTTAACAAGTTTTGTTGCTAGTTCAATCGTAACGATAAGGAGAATGGCAAGAATAAGAGTCAAACTCATTGTTAAACTGATATGTTTAATTCTTTCAGATCGTTTTAATTGACTATTACGTTTTTGTAAAGCTTGTAATTGATTTGGAGTGAGATATGTTGCAAGTGCTGTCGTATTAGCTGATATTTGAGAAAAACGATGTGACGGTAAAAGTCCATTAAGAAGAGCATTGGTTGCTGCTGATAATGATGAATGAGAACTAGTGCTCAATCGAGGATCATGAAAATTTTGTGCTTGTGTTTGTTGCATCGATATAAATGAGGCACAGGCAGATCGGTTCTTTTCTGCTATATTCGGTGACTACTGCAACAATATAATTAGTCGTAATGGAGTTTTTTTTCTGGAACAGAACATCCAACAGAAAAAAAGAGAGAACTGACATTTTCTTTTCTTTTCTTTTCTTTTCTCTGCGTGTTTTTTCCCGTTTCACTTCGCCCTTTATTCATTTCTTTTTCATTTCTAATAAAAAATTGTGCCTGTTACAGAGCAATTCTATATAGACAAGAAACGGATGTTGACAATTATTTTTTCCCTCGTACGTGGCCTTACGCTTCTTTTTACGTAGCCGTTAGCAATGAGTTCATATGCTTATTCAAATTCGAACGTGTACAAAAGAAACAAACTAATCCGCTTCTTTTATTATTGATATTCTGTTATGCAGATTATTTTCTCAATCAATTGAAAACGAGCACTAGAAACATATTTATATGCAACATGTAATTACTATTACTACAATAAGCAAACAAGGTATAGGTTTGCTTACTTAAATATTAACATTTTAACTTATTTCGTCAATATTTGGTGTAAAACTTTCAAAAAAAACTATTTATTTGAAACCTAAAAGCACTCTAATTGACATTAATAGAAGTATAAAAATTTCTTCTTGAATATCATTTCCGTCAAAGAAAAAGGACACGTGATGAAAATAGATATTATTTGATTATATTTCATGATTCATATTTTCTCAATTTACTTATAATGGTGCCGTATTCAAATGCATTTCCTTTTGATTATAACAGTGCTAGTCAAAAAAAAGAACAACGTGCTGCCAATGAACATTGAACAAAACAAATTTTATGAATATTTTCCTGAAATTAGGTTTTTTCCGTAATTTGACGTTTTTAAAGATATTTATTTTATTGAAATTAACCATCATGAGAATGGTTTATGAAGAAAATCGAAGGGACAATAATTAATAATTTTATCATGCTACGCTTAAGTCTGATCAGACATGAAGTATTATATTCTAAATGAATACGGCCACTTATCTGAGAAATTTATAAATTTATCTAAGATCATTAGACACAGTTGCACCGTACGCATAAATAACTTCTCTATTTCTCATAAATGCATCTCGATTCTTGTTCTTACATTCTATCGAACTTACAATAATTGACGTTCAGTGGCTTGATTAGAGATGTTTTTAGATATTTCTGACGAATCATATTAATATTTCCTTTTGAATTTTAATAGTCACTGAAAATTAATGTTAACATACTATTTCAGAACATAATTGTATTGAATGCGTTTCTATGAGAATAGCATGTTTCTTTTTATGCACGGAAAAAAACTCATTGAGGTCTGTTTTAGATTTTATGATCCAGTCACGTATGAGAATGGTAAAATAATAGTATTAAGAAACATTTTTTATTTAAAAGAAGTTAAGTTCATTCTAGCTTTTAAAATTTTTATAAAATATACTTAAAATTGCATTCCTAAAATAAATTTTTATGAAGTGAAATTTACGTATGTTGCAATGTATAATGAATCATAGTATTTTATTAAGGTTTTGCCAGTGTTTTGCCTATGCGAAAACACTAAAGCAAAGACTGTTAATTAATTGTTGTCAAACTAGTAATTGATTCTACAATAATAATATTTTAATTATTATATTGACGTATGACGTATCAGTAAAACTAAGAATATCCGTATATTAAAAGTCGGAATAAACTTTTATTAATTTCAGTTGCTGTCTAGCAGTCTTATAGCTAGTATTATGTCAACTTAAATCATTCATAAAATAGTCGAAACACATCTATTAGATTAGGCATAATTATTCATTATTTTAATTAATAACAAAGAAGATAATTAGTACATGAGAACATATTAACATATTCTTATTCCATTATCAGTCAATCCATCAATAAAAGTCAACGAGATTTTTTCGATCGCTTTGTTCTTTCTATACTACTTATTACTTTGCACATTTGCAATTTTATATTGTAATAAAATTTCGTATCCCAATGCGTCACGATTGCTATATTCACATTTCGTTGTCCTTACACGCTTATGAATTTGACTTAGTGAAATCATTCTTAGATATTACCTGAGATTATCTATCTCTTAGCATATCTACTACTTTGTACCAAACAGCTTGTTGCTTGAATTTGTTCTCGTTAAAATTTTTTTTTACATATGACATCTGTATTAAAAATATTTAGATTTAGTTCGGTGGATGAAGATAGCTCTGTATTGGACGTTTTCCGTTTAAAACTAGAATTTAATAGTTATGGAGAGCATGGATTATCTTTACTGAAGTTTTTCAACTATGAGACTAGTATCGAATATATCGAAATTGTCTTAAATTAGTAATGACAACTGAAAGTGTGTTCTCTTCTTCTATAGACCATTACAAGTTATATGTGTATACTGTAACTCTCGACGCTTCGTTTTCTATATGGTATGTTCAACTGGACAGTTTTGTCAAGATTCTTTGCCCAATTTAATCATATTTTAGGCAACAACTAATTCTAGGACAACAGTAAAAAGCTATAAAACATTTTAGTGCATCCGCTTTTCTGCTCAAAATTGATTAACCACCGCTACAGATCATTTTTTTTCTTTAAATTTTCCCAATAAATCTGCTAGTTTTTATCGTTTATAGATAAAATCCTTACAGAAGACAACATAAAAATTTCTAAAACAACACGAGGAATTTTTTTTTTAAATACAAGAAAAGAAAACTTGAACATGGGCTGTAATAATATATAGCCAACAATTTTTCAGTATAATACGGCGTTAAAAAAAAGCTTTGTTGTCATGATTTTAAAACATGGAATCGTTTTCTGATTGAGAAATCTTGAAATCTGAAACGTTCTATCCCACAGGTGAAATGAAAGACTTTCTTAGCAAATATTTTTCCTGAAAACTGAGTATTTCTTTGCGTCAGACAAGAGAATAAAATACGCGTTTGTAAACAAGATTTCTATATCACAGAAAGAGCTATTCATTTAAGTCTACAGCAACTCTATGTATATGAACAATTCAGTTAAGCAGGTAATGGTCCATAGTATGTTAATTTAACTGAGTTCTAACCAAGTATAAACGTTTTATCAACTACTTATTCGAGGGAAAAACCAGAAAACAATGTGATAAATTCATGTTTCAAAATAATTAACAATGTAGAACCACATTGATTACGGGATAATTTTTTCTTTTATTTTTGTAAAGATTTCATGGTTCATCTTTAAAAATAAGTTCACTCGGAACTAATTAGAAGAAGTAAAAGACATCGAGAAAACGCTGAGAATGTTGTTTTTAATTTTTCTATGACTCTCTCCCTCTCTCTCTCTCTCTCACTATGAATAGCATTTCAGCATTAATCTATATGAGTCAATATTTCAATAATCTTAATCATTATTCGAATAAACAATAGAAGAGTATATGATGTTCTTTTAAATGATGAATTATTATTCATCTTCATCTTTGGAAATTCATTTGTTTAAGAAGAAGATATGAAGTTAGTTGTTTTTTCAAGATCAATAGATGTTCAAGATGGTTGCTGAGACTAGTTATTGTTCGAGTGATATTTCTACTTAAAAATCAAAATTAACTAAATTCTTATCTTGATCAAGCGTTGAAGAAAAACAAAGATATTCACAGGTTTTCCGTTTAACTTGTTTAAATAAAAAAATCAATTTATTTCAATGTGTAACATTTCTCATTGATCACGTCGTAAGAAAGTGTTATTCAAGTTCTGATAGCAAAGAAACGCCGTTGAAAATCATGACTGTTCTCTTCATGTTGCTGTATGTTTCTTTGAAACATATCTTTTTAACAAATCTACGAGAAAAAAAGAACTATTATTAGCTACTTCATTAGCGTATTCTTTTTTTACCGTAAGAATACGTTTATCTTATACATTTGTCTGTTTTTGCTGAATTGTTTTTTCTTGTTCAATTTCTTTTTAAGAAGATCATTATTCTCCTTCTCCTTCGTCGCAATTGGTTACTAAGTCTAACAACGAGAGAAAAGAAAAGAACGGAAAAACCAGTGTAGGTCGAATTGAACAAATCAGTTTGACATTTGGTTTCATTCAAAGACAGAGTTTATATCTATAAAAAAAAGCAAAATCGTCTATTTAACTTCAGTTTCGTTATTATTCATGCTTCGAAAATTATTTCTTAACGAAAAAATGATCTAGTAACTAAGAATGAATGTGGTTATTAAATATATATTATAGCAATAAGTTTGTTGGTTCAATCATCTCACGACTTCGAATATTTGAGTTTTATTAGTAATTTTTTCATGATAATAGTTAGCTAATAATTGCTCGTCGTCATCATTATTAAAAAGATTAAAAAGAAATTAAGTTCAATGTAATATTTTTTCTTTTTCATTCAGACTAATTCACAAGAAGAAAACGATGCAATTGAGAATTCTTTTCTTACTTCTATGATAATATCAACAATATAAATAGAAAAAGTTCGTCTTAGTATGAATGGATCATATCCATTTTTTGCAAGACATGAAGAAGTTCATTTGCAACAATATCTTCGAATTTATTTTATTCCTAATAGCTAGTAAAAGATTACTGTTTTTGAACTTTGTAGTAGTATAATCTCTGTATCCAGTAAGAATTTCTTCAGAAAATGTCTTCTTAATCATAATAACTATACTTTTATTTCCTAGGCTGAATTGGAGAAGTAAAATAACATTTGTTCACAAGTCATACTCGTATATAAACACGTTTCTTTTTTAATAAGTTATAACTATAATCGGAAATTTACTAAGGAGAAAAATTAGTCTTGCATGACAAACATCAAAATTACCAGACGAGATAGTCACGCTTATTAGTAAAAATAGCTGATCATTAATTTACAAACATTGCCAGTGTTCAATGAAATTAAATCTTCTAAAAACAATTTAGGTTCAATAAATGAGCGAATCTGTGTAGAATAACAAAAAAACATTCTACAAGAATATATATTATTTTAGCAGACTGTTTTAACAATTATAATTTCATAACTATTCGAATTACAGTATTTTTTAAACAGACTTGATAGATTATCATTCTCTACTCGTCTATTAATATGAAAGTTCAACACAAATGTCATGTTTATATTTCTAATGGTAAATATAAATTAATTACAATAGAAAATAGATGACTGAAGCGCAAAATATTTTCAAATTGTTCATGCAAAAATAATTCAATTAGTATCGAAATATATTGAAGGTAGCATTTTTAGTGCATTCATCTCAACAGCAACAAATATTTAAAGGTGAAGAATTTCTCTGAATATTTTGTTATTAAATATCTTTCAATCGGTCTGATCAATTCAAATGAATAGTGAAAATACATATAAGAGTTGTTATCACTTACCATGAACATAACTGAGACAATATCTCTGAAAAACAAATTTATTTTAGTCAAGTCGCAGATCTATGGAAAATAATGCAAGAGCGAACAGATTCTGTTAGCAACTCGAATGTAAATAATAGTGTGAGGATAGTTGTATGTATTTTTATGGAGATAATATTGATGTCTCGTGAAAAACAATGAAAAAGTTAGAATAAAATAACTCGTTACTTTATTAAATATGAAACAAAATGTCTTAGTTTGAATCTGATTCAATCTGACTTTTTCTTAAATAGTGCTTTTTTTAAAATTCATCTTATGATTGTAATTTTAATCAAATTTTAGCAGTGAAACAATCGATTATGATCTGATTTTTAACATGTCTTCACGTGCAACACTAACAGTCATTTCAATTTACTTATTTTTTGATTAGTTTTGATAATCAAAAAAAAAATATTACTCATTCAAAGCAAATCATAAAATAAATTAGTTACAATTTTAGAAATTATTCACCAACGATTTACAAATTGATTTTAAGATGATTTGAAAATATTCTCTAGCAGCCTAATGCTACCGCTATGATTTGCAAGTTCGATGAAAACGTTTTTTCCAACTTCCTAATAATCTATGAGTATAAATCATTCAATTCTTCCAGAAGTTTGACTTTTATGAACAATATATTTAGTATAGAACCAGTACTTATAATAAAAGATTGCCAGTGATGTTCCCAACAAAGATGATAAAAAATGCAATCAAAGCTTGTTGTTTATTTTAGTAAATGATTGATCTTCACGAATCTTTAGATATAAATGAAACGAAGACAAGATTTTTAATCAAATTGCAGTAATGATCAACTAGTGCAAGGTGCAAACAAAAGAAAGAGTATAGCAAATTAACAAAGAAAACAAAGAAAAATTTGATCACAATATTATCAATGTTGTTGAATTAAAATATATTTATTCTATTCAGATTTTGATTGTATCAATTTATCTACTTCCGCATTCTAATGTTGTCTACAACTTGAATAGATGCATTGCATTAAATCATTATTTCGCGTCACCGTGTCATCTATCTATATATATATAAAGAAGAATGTTTGTCTGTTCTTTATGGATTCAGTCCCTGTTAGAGCTAACGTCACCAAACTTTCCATGGCACTTCCTTAAGTCCAGGGGAAGGTCGAAAGGGGGTCGGCGCTCCCGAGAAGTGGGGCGGGAACCCCCCCCCCATTTTTTGAAAAACTACCGAACATTTTCTAATTTCCCAGAAATTTTGGAGAATTTAATCTGATTTTTGAAATGCCATGCACGACCGCGGAAAAGTCAAGTGAAAGTCCACCCAGGTTGTGAAAACCGAGGATTCTCTAATCTATATATATATATATATAAAGAAGAATCTCTGTTTGTCTGTTCGCTATGCATTTTCACACCGTACCAGCAACTGCAACCAAACTTTCCAGAAATCTTCCTCTCATCCTGGAGAAGGTCGACATCTACTTTCATTTCTAGAAAAATTGATTCTTCGTCCGAAAAAAGCCTGCCTATGTTGCTAACCAATCAGATTGCAGTGCTCGGTACTGTTGAAGTGCCATTGAACATCACTTCGTGAACACAGAAAATATGCAACCAGAGGTTTTGAAGGACTGTGAGGGATCAAACACACTGACTTAATTCAAAGTGAATTACGAAACATGATTGGTGTTTCCATGTAGCAACGCCAATTACATTGGCTAATTCACTTTGAATTAATTCAGTGTGTTTGAACCCTGAGTTCGAATCTGGAGTTCATGTGTCTCAAAATCTGATTAGTCGTCCGGAAACCAATAGGAAAATAGTTCCCAGGAAAACGGTCAAAGAACCTTATACTATCGAGAAAATGATGAGTCGAGAATTTTCAGACGTGATAAATTCAAATCTGTGGTCCAATCACTTCGATAATTTAATGATTAGTCCAGAACGAACAGATACCGAGTTTAGAGTAAGTGAGTATCATTGAAGGATTGCAAAAAAGACATTAGAAATCAGAAATCTCCGGAGCACTATGCCTTACTGGACGACCGGTGACTTAATTGGGTGGCTCATGTCAAAGACATATGGAGTTTTAGAGAAACTGACACCTTGAAGGTCATCTACGGTGGGAATTTCGAATAAGTGGTCAACTAGGATCAAGACTTTGTTAATCGCACATTTCGATGATCAAGTTCTTAATAGATTTTTCGTACGAAGATCTTTTTGTCTGTCTTTCTTTGCTTCAATCAAAATTTAATACTTTTTCAGCAGTGAAAATCACGATACACTGTCGGAGTTCTCCTATCTATATACATACAGAAAAATGCCTGTCTGTTTGTCTATTCGCTATGCATTCAGTCCCTGTAATAATTAGCATTACCAAAGTTTCCATATCACTCTCCTGGGTGCAGAGGAAAGTCGAGAGGGGGTCCGCGCACCCGAGAAGTGGGGTAGGAGATCTCCCCCATTCTTTAGAAAATTGTACAAAATTTTCTAATCATTGAAATATTTTAGAGCATTTAATCCGATTTTTGCAGTGTCATGAACGGCTGCAGAAAATCAAGACGAGGTCCGAACACGCGAGCAGTGGAGTGGAACGAGATCCTCGTTTTTTGAAAAACTTCAGAAAAGCAGAAAATATTCTGATTCTTCAGAAACTTTGGAGGATTTAATCCGATTTTTGTAGTGCTATGCACGACCGTGAAAAAGTCAAGTGAAAGTTCACCCAGGTTGTGAAAACCAAGGATTCTCTAATATATCATAAAGACAAGATTGTGCATATGAGTTTTTTTTACCTTGCTCACAATGATGATTTATCAACTCTTTGTCCTGACTCAATTGATGACGTGTCGATGGTATCAAAATATTTGTCTGACGTGATTAGACTCGAAGAACACTATAGGGACGTCCTTTTCTATAATGCCAATTACGTACTATCAAGTGATTCCCACCGACATCGGGTACTTCCGCTAGTTTGAATATAAATGAGCTTCTTTAGCTTTTTTTTCTCAGAGAGTTCCTCCGTTTCTATTCAATTTTTATGATAAAATTTCAACTACATTAAAAAAAATGAAGAAAGATAGACTAAAGAAGTTGATAGTCTTTCAAAACTAAGCCAGATCATTGACACGTTCATCTATTCAGACTTCTGGTACGAAAATGATCCTTCTTCAACAGGTAATGAGAAAAATTCATTCATTAAACTGATCAAGAATATAACCGAAAATAATCTTTTTAAAATCTACTAAGTACAACCGATTTCATAGCGTTGAATTTTTTGTCGACAACCATAACTGTAGGAAAACATACTTCAATAAATTTAATTGATTATTACTAATAGTGGAATCTTTATTTATTAATATTTGCTTTGTAAAACAAGATTCTTCCAAGAAAAATCAAAGATATAAAGTAGCATAAAAACGAATGAATGAACTATGAAACTATTTATCGATATTTAGCTATTGCAGCAAGACCAACAGCAGCTAAAACAGCGCTACCCATCGCAACATATGTCCACCAAGCGGTCTTATTCTTGTTTTCAACCTATTATTAAAAACATTATTTTTTATTTTTCTCCAGATAATAAACTCAAACCTTTGCAATATTTTTGGATTGAAGTTTCTCCTTCACTGTTGTTATTGTTGTTGATGATGGTGATGAAAACATTCTTCTAAAAATCTCTTTTTCATTTTTTTTATATTTTTCTAATTTCGTTTTACAAATATTTAACATATCATTAATTTTATTTCTTTCAATATCGTTATTTTGACTTTGTAATAGTAATTTTAATATCGGAATTGTTTGATCATAATTCCCTAATTCAAATAAAGCTTTTGCTTGTCGAAATGAAGCTTTTATATTATTTGGATCACGCTTTAAAACTTCATTGGCAGCATCCAAACATTGATCAAATTGATTATTTAATAAATGAACTTGTGCAAGATTATTTTGTACTTGAATATACTGCTCGACAAATATTGAGGATTCTGTGTCTTGCTCTAATAACGGATATTGATCTGTGTTTAAAAATTTTAAGGCACTACGATAACATTGAAGAGCAATTGAATATTCTTTTCGACGATATGAAAAATTTCCTCGTTGTCTCTTTTTATCACTAAAATAAAACAAACGTGACTATCATAAATTGGCAAAAGAAAATATTAAGTGTCTACATTCTATAAAAATGCATTGTGAATTTCTTAAATTTTTGATTATTTCATTCGTATGATATAGTTCAAAACTATGTTATTTCTTCAGACAAGAGGGTAGTATCTTTTTAGTTTCTCTCTAGTTGTATTGTTCTGATTTTATACTGTTGTAAAATTCTCAAGAGTTTTTCGATTGATTGTCGTGAACGTGAAAAATTTCAGTTTTCAATTTTAGAAAATTTTTTTTATTATTATTTCATGAAATATAAAACACTTCCAGAGATCGATGACCCATTTTTTTATAAATTTCCGAAGCTTTGAACTTGCCATGTTTTTATTTCGTATACAAAGCGAAAATGTTTTACTAGGCTCTTCTGCACACTAAAATCTAATATGAATCTTCAAATGAACTATTTTAGATATTTGTTGTTCAAAGATCTACTCAAAACATAATGCTATGGAACTTTAAATTCTAGCCGCGAGATGCTAGTAAAGTCGTCAAATATTCTAAAATTTTAATTCAATTCAAATAGATTTGATCTACGTAAGTTTAATTTACGACGACAGTGAAAGAAGTTTTGACAAACCTCCAATGAAGTCGTTCATCAATGGACAATGTCTGAATATCAGGTGCATCCTTCCAATCATGAAATTCTAAATCAATTTTCATTCGATATTTAATATTTGGTGATATTGGTGGAATTTCTTTTTCTATACAACCAATTTCTCCATAGCCATGTCGCATGTCGGCATCAATAAAAGCATGTTCACCACGGTCCATTAATTGAATAGAAATATCGATTGCTGGTAAAATATCAGATTCGCTAACAAAAAAACTTTCATTAGTTACGGTTTCAATAAGATGAGAATCTGCTGTAGAATCATCAATTAAAAATAATTTATAAGAAACCGTTGCGATTGCACCTCGACTTGGACGTGTATCAGGTTTGCCGGGTGTGATTGTCTAGAAAAGTATAAATCATAGTATATGTTTTTAAATCACAATCTTTTTTCTTTGTGTTACATGTTTGAGTAAAGATTTATTACCAAGAATATCATCCGGTTCCGTTTGAGACATGGAAACATTGTGATTTTCTCCAGATTTTTCATTGATAACACCTGATGATGAACACAAGGATTCTTTGTTTTGATTTTGATTTTGCTCATCAAGTACTTCAAGTTCATTTAATGGACGAGTATTGATGATATTCGAGTTCAATTGATTTGGAAAAGTATTGTTTTCGATATTTCTTAATGATTGGCCAATAGATGCTGTGCCTGGCAAAATTTCTGTTTCATTAATTTCACTTTGTGTTCTATGTAATAATTATTTTGAAAAGTGATTAAAAAAATGTTAATTGAGTTCTTGTATTCATTTATAATGTTAAAAACATTATTACAGAAATAAAACTACAATATCTAAGTTATTATGCATGAATCATATAGCTGTTTATGGATAAATACTAGTCAATTTACTGCGAGTACTGTTGCATCAATTGATGTTTATTTATTTTAATATGGATAAACGTTGACACTGTTTAGTATGTTTATTTTCTAGTTACGTCAACATCGAGTTTAATTTACGATGATTCTCAATAGTTTATATTATGAAATCGACGTGCATTATCTAAATATTCTACTGTTAGAAAATATTATCTCAGAAATCAGTTACTCATTATAAAGTACTACTATAAATAGTTATGAATTATTTCGTTTATGTCTTTATGTCATTAAACTGTTTCATTGTAAATGTCGATAATGACAACCTATGAAAGGGTTTGTCACCAATATAAATACTTTACTTTTTGCTATTTCTCAATGCATATTTTAGTTTATCTCAAGATAGGTGAAGAATAGATGTTTTACTAGGTCGAAATCGACTTATAAAATAATTTTTATTTGAATAACTTTGATGTTATTGAACGTTGGTCTAGTGTGTAATTTATACTAAAATGAAGTCGTCAAATATTAGAACATACTGAAAAATCTTTTCATATTCTTATTAATCGAGTCCCTGCAGAATTAATAGGCACAAAATTGAAGAACTCCTTTAATCATCAATTGAAATATTGAAGTTCTCGGTATTTGTAACTGCTGCCGTGTAGATTAAGACTATTTTACAATGTATTCTTTCTAATAGTTATATTTGAGAATTGTTCTGACATAGAATTTATATTAATGAAACTTACTTGAATTCTTCTGAGATCTCACGAAGATTTGATTGTATGTAAGAATTAGTTTCACTATTGATATCAGATGAATGTTGCGAAGAACTTTGATCGATCTTATCATCACTTTTATTATCGACTTCTGTTTTTGTTTCAAGTAACAGCTGTTTACTTTGATTATGATCAGAAATATCTACTGATTCAATATGATATGATCTGGTTGGGTTTTGATTGTTACATTGAACATTTACAGAAGGTTGACTCTCTGAATGATCGTTATCATTATCGTTCCGGGAAGAATACTCTGGTCGTGATATTTCTTGAATATGCTGAGGAGAAGAAGACAATTCAAATGAACAAGATTCTGGATTAGATTCCGAAATGAATGTTCTTGATTGCGAAGACAAATCGGTGGAAAATTCGTTCTGCATTTTAAACAAAAAATGTCCGTATTCAATTCTATTCCTCAACTCAACTCAACCTAAAAAACATAAAATAAAATCTGGATTATCTATGTGGACCAATCATATTAGTTTATTATTTTACGAAAAGAAATATTAATTTAAATAACATTTTACAATTCATTTTATAATTACTTGAAATAAAGCTTAATTGAGTTTCGTTGATAGAAATAATACATATGATTGATTAAATGAAAGGACCAATTGGATCTATTTGTTTTTTGCAAAACAATCTCTCAATCTAGAATGGTGATGGTGATTGGTATAACTGGGAAGACTGGTTCACGATTATTTTCTGTGAGTTGTTTTATCGTTGAAGTTTGTTATGTCGAATTTATTTAATTTCTTTATTGCTTTAGAGATATGATGTAACAAATTCTGCAGTGAATAGGGAACGTTTATCATTTAATGCTGCTGTTTTCATGTCGATTATCGGAATTGGTGTTTCATTATTTAGCACAAATAAATTATTCGTGGCTTCTTCGTCAACTCAATCGATATTGACTCGATCAAAATAGAATCATTTTTTTAATTCTCTGTATTACTTTCCCCTTTGTATTTCTAGGTTAAACGAGAGATTTTATTTAGTAAAATTAAAACCGGAGATGAATTAATCAATATAAGAATCATGTTCGTGTGATTTTTTTAATTGTTTCGTTCTAGAAAATGAAGAAAGATAATATTAAAGTATTCCAAGACAAGAAAAATAGAAAATCGCACAATCAAAAGATTCGTGATGCACATATTTTACGTGAACAAGAAAAAGAAGCAGCTAAACAAGTAATTTATTTATTTTTGTCAAAATTCTTTTGATTTTGACTTGTTTTTAGGCAAAAGAAATTCATCAACAAGATACCAGTGCTGCTATTGCTCGATACAAACGCAATAAACAATCTCGCTTAAAAAAACTAACAAAAAAGACACGCCGTGGTCAACCTGTTATGCAAGGACAAATTGAATTGTTGCTTGATAAAATTCAAGAACAAAAACAAAAGGAAAAGCAATAAACTTGCTATTTGTTTTGTTTTCTGAATTAATAGAAACATAAAATAAATGTTTGTACTTGGTTAAATTTTTATTTGTATCAGTAAACGGAAAGTAATGATTTAACATTTAAGAAAATAGTTCATATCGGATAGGTGAAAATAAATAAGATTACCTTGAAATCTATAATCAAAACATGAAATTCTACTTGAACAAACATTAGATTCGTTGAGTATTCGATATCAACGGAGTTCTATTCGTCAAAGTGAATTCTTTCATTCATTTATTTATTTTAGATCCGGAAGTGACATTCATCCAAGATACGTAAAATCTTTTTTTCCCAATGTAATGATGAAATTGATCAAGAATATGTATAATGATAAAAACAAATTCAGGCAATCAATTCTACAATCCATATAGGTCGATTATTTATTTATATAGATGTATCAGTTGAACGAAAGATTTGATAAGTTCAAAATAATCTGAGAGATTCGAATAATTAACTGTTTTAAGTTGCACTGATACATTTATATTTCGAGAAGATTTAATTCCTTCTATAGAAGAATTTTTAAAAATTAATTAGCAATTTTTATTACGAATTTATTGTAATTTCTTGGATAATAGAAATATTTCTAAAAAATTAGTAAAAAAACATAGAAAAATTTGTAACGCTGATGTCAGAAATGAAGTTAATCCATCCATAGGAAGCTATGAATTTCATGGTGACTTTGCTACAATGGAATGTTCACGCTAAAGACCTTTTAATATCATGCAGTATAAAATGTGATCACACTCAAACAAAATAAAATACTGTTAAGACTTTCGCTATAGATCATTATTTACAATAGTATTGATTTTAACTTATACTACTGACGATATAATATCCTTATAATAAAACTTTACCGCATAGATTGAAATTTTTCTATAGTAGAAATTAAAATTTTAAATCATATTATAGCTATTTAAAAGTGTCTGTTATTTCTACGTTCATCTGTGCACTTCAAATTCATGTAAACATTGCTTCAGTCTAATTAGCGTGTAATACTAATCACTATTGAAACTATTTCAATTGATGCTAGTTTCAAAATCAATGCTTAGTTTATTTCTTTATGATGAACATAATTGTGCAACAAAATAAAGACATGTTCATATTGGTAATGTAGCAGGTAATATTCAATTATGAAATGTGAATCGTCCATTTATTTCATTATCATTTTAATTGACGATTATTAATGATTTATTAGTTCATACAAATGAGCATTGCTTTGTGGTCTTGCATTGTCATTCTAGTTAATTAATAATAAGTTCTTATCTAGAATGTTGAGTTGATGAGTTAAGTATTTTCTTTTTAGACTTAAAGAATATATTATATGTTCAACGAAAATGTTATATTGGCGGATTTCTTATTGCAGATAATTTTATCAAAGCAATTGAATAACGAGTTTTATTATTAATTGATTCAGTATAATAATAAACAACCTATTTTTTAAAATTTTTACTTCATAGACAGACGAATTCGATGTTATTGATCGTATGAAAAGATTTCCTTTATATTTCTCAATCGATTCAAGATTCATTTGCATCAAAATTGATTAAAAACTTTGAAATGAAGCTTTGTAAAACTATTAATAAAGACGTTTTTTTGATAAGAGATGATACAGAAAAATAATTTATAATAATTCAAAATGATAGTTTTTATTAAGAACATAATTATGATACAGAAGAAAAATTGATGTAATTCATTCTTTCTATATTATAGTTATACGATGAATCATCAAGTCAAAAGGAACTTTACCTTTTTCATTTAACAAATATCAATATAAATTCTTTTGATAATTGCTTTTTTTCTTTTGCTAATCAGTGTTGGTTATAATTTGAATCATCTTATCTATCAATAATTTGAATTATTAACTAAAACTACTCTAACATAAAATAAATCTTCAATGAGTTTTAATCAAAGATTATGTCAAACAATCATTTCCATTTGATTCCACTATTATCAATACTACAGCAAATTAGTTCCGTCTTTGAATATACAAATTTTCTCTCACCCTTTGAAGTCTTGCATAGTTAAGTTAACATCGCGAAACATTCTATCAACAGATATGTATTTTTTTGGTTGATTAAATAAATGAAATAATAAACATTCACATCAAGATTCATTGAATATAGATTACTGAGAATTTTTCATAGATCATCATCAATAATTATAGACAAATATCATTGAAAAAATTCTTATCTCTTCTAGAAAATTATTAAAGTCATTTTTGTTCGGCTAATTTTGCCTACGTACCGGAGTCATAGATTGATTTGTTCACGAACATGATAAACAAAACTCAAGTAGCTCTCAAAGGATTTTACTTATATGCATATAAACATTCCGTCTTAATCTTTCTATTTATTTATAAAATTATGAAACAAGAGATTCAGGCAGAATACTTCCATTTGATAATTTTCTTTGTATCCATCGATGAACATCAAAATTATTTTGATTATTCAAATCTAATTTTAACCAGAACAGTTATTTAAAAACAATAAAAGTAAAATAAAAAACCTTACTTTGCTTTGCTTGTTCAATTAATTGAATAAGTTCATAACTCGATCGATGTGAAAATTTACAATTATTGCCAAACAAGCATGAATTACTTTGTGTCCATTTAATACAATTTTTTTTGAGTCGTTCATTGATTAATATCTCAACAGGATCTAAGTAAATTTTAAAAAAAATTCTTTTATAAATAACAAAAGAAATCGTTTAAACCTTGGAATTGCAGATAATAAAATAGTTTATTATTAATATGTTGACTACCTCGATTATGATTTTTTCGATGATTTGAACCAGGCGGTAATCGTTTATCACAATAATCACAATAATATTTTCTACCCATCTCAAAAAAAGAAAAGAAGTTTTTTTCCGGTTTGATGTATTTAGTATTCACTTTCTTTTTGGATTGATGACAATAGAGGTATTTATTATTTATTTAAACATTTGCAATAGTATAAATACAAAATTTCCTTTACATTTGATCAAATATTCAGTAAAAACAAAAATCCCACTGCTCCTAATGAATAAATATACTATAAAAAACAGAAGGAGAAGAGAGACACCGGTAAAATACACCATAATTGGATTTATAATGATCAATCGGTGAATTAAAATTTGATTATTGACTGCTCAATTTAGATGATGCGTATAAAGTACTGGTAACCTATAATGAAGAAAAAAACAATAATAAGATAAATTATATAATCAAATATTAATAATTAAAAGCATACATTTTTTAAGGCATTATGAGTTGTCACTAAAACAGATTGAAGATTATTTAATTGAGTTTGATAATATTCTTCTTGTCTTTTCAATGATAAAGACCATTCGCTATCTTCTTGTTGATATCTATTTCAAGAATGATTTCATTTTAAATAAAATTACATAAATATTTTCATACGAATATTTATTTAACCATGTTGGATAAACTTGTAAAAGGTGATCAGTCATATGATCAATTTGATTCAATTTTATACATAAAAATATATTAACAATAAGTAGAATAAACATTCTATAAAGTTAGAGAACATATTTTAATAAAAATAGCTCATTTTTTTCCTATTAAGATATTTACGTGAATAGACAAAATGATAATAAAAATGCATTTTTAGATGAACATAATTTGTCTGGTACTGATATATTTGAGCCTAAATAACATTTCATTTTTATTATTCAGTTGCTTAGTTCGAAAACAATAAATATATATTTACTTATTTCATCCTGAATTGAGTCTTCTTGTTGAGAATTTGTTGACAAATCATTGATGGAAGAAGTTAATTCATCTGATTGCTGATGTTCTAATGATCTTGTATTTAGTACTGTTATGTTTTCTTTTTCGTTATTATCACTAGTACTGTGTGCTCGTGGTCGTTTGGAAGATTCTTGATCCATACGTTTCACTAAATTCATAAAAAATAAATAATTAAATTGATGTTTATTTGATAAAATGTAAAAATGTATTATGACAAACCACTATCACAAAGCACACCTATCAAATGGTGATAATTCAATACACGGTTGTCTTTTGTAAGAGCAAAAAAGTTAAATTTACAAAATCAAGTCAACCACATTGAAGCAACAAGCAAGAAAACAATATATAAATATGAAAGATAAAACTTACTTAAATCGTTAAATGAATCTTGAAGAGCAGCCATGGCATTTTTTTCGATGAATGCTGAACGAGCACATAAAATATGACATTTAATAAAACGGGAAATAGACGATTTTATTTTCAACTTCTTCATTTTAAGATATTTCATAGAAATGAATGAATGGTATCGTACTTCGATTTACTCATTTTCTTTTTCCTTTTTATACAACCACTCCCTACATATGAGACCATCAACATACGATTGTTGCGATGACAGAACAAGAAAAAGAGCAGTTAACGTTCTGTATTTCTGTCGTACAGCAGAAAAGAAAAAAGTCAGAATGCTACAGGTAATATATGACTCTTCATAGAGGGAAGGATGGCGTGATCATTTTTCGTTAGTGTGATGTCTAATTCGAAATATTTCACGCAAAGAAAACGTTAACAACTTACTTTTAATAATAGCCATTAAACTTTTAACATATCGAACTTCACATGTTACTTTTAAATGTGATTTATTTGGTCCAATTTGTACAAGACAATATCGAGATGCAACATAAAATGCATCAGCATATTTTATTCCTTCGTTGCGTATTTCTGTATCTAATACAAAATGTGATTTTGCTAATTCACAATCAATAACCTGTTTATTAAACAAAAGTTTTAGAGAAAAAAAATTGAAAATTCTTTTAATTTAAAAAAGAATATTTTACTTGTTTTTCATTTGAAATGACTGTTGTCGAACCGATAACAGCCGAAACAATGACTCGATAGGTACATAGACGTTCACGTTTGCCTGTTTCACTGTTAACTTGCCATTCACTAGCACGAAAATCTAAAGTAGACCAAATACAAAGAAAAAGATCTAACGAAAGAAAAAAAGCATAACAATAAACCTTTGATACGACGTGATGCCCGATAAGCAACAAGAAACTCATTATCACCAAATATGCAATCAAGAAGACGTTCGACTGACATGGAATATGTTCGATTAATTAATTCTGTTGCTAAATGTGACTGACATGGGCATTGAGCTAGGTAACATATTTCTAATTTGATTTAATAAATTATTTATTTAGAAAAGAAATTCAAATATTTAAACAAACCCGGACTCATATTCATATTGTGTTTTGATAAATTTGATTGAGGTTGACGTTTAAGTGTGTCTGTTGCTGCTTTTTCTTCAATTGGAATAATACCATCATCATCATCATCATCATCAGTATGATGTTCACCATGTGATGAAACACTTGAACAATCGTCTTCTTGTTGTGAAGATTTCGAATTTATTGAATTTGGAGTTATACGCTGTAATAAAAAAAGAAAATAAAACATTTTCTTCGAATACGTATTCAGACAAAATTTATTTTCTTTTTGATAACATCACACTTTAGGGAAAATGAACAACATGCATGCATGTTTGGTACTGTGTAAAGCACTTGTCTTCGTTTGATGAACAAATCACAATTTTTTCATATCAAACCTAAATTTTCAATCCATTTTCTTGGAAATTATTTTTCTTGGTGTCAAAAGTTTATATTGAATTTAGTCTTTCCTTAAGAAAGATAAAGTTCTATTTTCGTCTAGATTCTAATATGATGAAAGCATTTGACAAAAGGGGAAAAGACAGGCGCCAGGAGCCTTAAATGAGACTATATAGAAAAGGATCTTTTAACTATTGAGATTGAATATTAAAATTATTACAGAATGTTGAAAAATTTTAGGCGGAATTATGTTGTCATTTATATTATAGTGTGATTAGGATAACATTGAAAACTTCTATAAATTATAATTACATCTAAATGATGTAAACATATAGAATGTGCGATTAATAAATCTTTTACTTTCAAATAAACTATCTAGAATTTACGCAAAGTTATCTCTATTTCTATCTCTTTATTTTGAGTCTTTAGTTATTTGTCAAATAAGAATAATATAAAAGTCTACAAATAGATGAAACACTAAACAATAGATTTGTCTTTGAATTTAAGCTGAATGATTTGGAAAAAAATGAATTCATTAGTGAACTAATTTAAAAATAACTTGTTGATTTGTTCATATCCGATAGATATTTCTCATTGACTAAATTAGATCTTCTTTTTTGTCGCGATACCATTGTTCCAAAAAACAGCAGCAATACATCAAACATGAAATGTAACTTACCAAAACAATATTTGATAACTAAATTCAATGCAATTCAATATCAAATCAATACAATTCAGGTAATGAATTTAAAAAATACTAAAGACTTATACTTACATCATATTTCCCATTCGCTTGTATTTGTTCCTTCGGTGATGTTTTATGATATATATCTTCTTCATCAGTTGTCATATCTAAATCATCACCGTAACTTTCATGAATCATTGTCCACAATTGTTGAGCAGGAATTGACTAAAATTAAAATATTATTTTATTGATTTTCTGTCACTAAAATTGAAATTAAAATACTTGATTATTTAATACATTTTGCCATATTCGAAGCATCAGTGCATAAGATTTATCACGTGCTACAAAACTTGCAAAAAAATATTTTTCTGCTTTATTGGATTTGATTTCAATAGCATTCGGAATAACTTTTGCTGTTTTTTCACGTGCTATTGCAACAATATCTTGAAATTTTAAACATAAACTTGTTTTCCAATTGAGAATATTTGCATAAAAACATAGATAATTTTGAGATAAATAGATTCGACCTTGAATTAATATATCTTTTTGCCATGCACATGAATAATCTTAAAGAAGATTTTTATTTGGATTCAATCATTTAATTAAATCTCTTACCAACAATTAATCGTTCATCGATTGGTAATTCTTTGAAAAGTTTTCGAAATTCTTCATTTCGCTGGCGATATGTACATTGAAATGGCTAAAGAGAAATAAAATAAATTATTTAAACAAAAAACAATAAACTAAGAAAAGTATATCAATAAGAGGGGTGAACCAACGATCCTTTTTGTATCTTATTTAGTAATATATGATACTCAAAGGTTTATATTTAAGTAATAAAGCAATAATGATTTGATTTGTGATGATGTTAAAGCAATAGATTAATCAACCATTGATAATGTTAGTCTAGTTAATTATTTACTTGAATAGCCTTTCATTCTAGTTATTTTCTTATAAGCCGATTGCTTTTTTTACTGTACATTTTATTATTCTATACGAATATAGATTAGATTAAGTACGCCTTATTGATGATGACAATAACGATGATATACAATGAATAGTTCGTTCAGGAAATGATCTATATCGTCTTTGCTGTCACCGATTACTATTTTGAAATGATGATTGATGACATTTCGATAGATGAATATTTGTAAATGAATATGCATTTGATACTGATTCGAAGACATTGTATGCTACTAATGTATCTTTTCTATTTTCTGTTAATGGTGTTGAAAATCCAGAACATGTTTCAAGTTCCGAATGAACTAATTCAGAGAGGCAAACAACGGAAGTTGATGACGATTGTATTGATAAAAATGATTTAAGAGCTTCACATGAGAATTTGTCACTTGATGAACTTTGATTGTACTCAGTATCAATCGGAAAATGACCATCAGAATTACTAGTTTCGTCTGATTTTAATATCTTTTTGTCAACATTTAACTGTAAAATTTGATTTTCTTTTAGATGATCGAAGACTTTTTGAATGAAAAAAGAATCGAACTATATCCATTATTATTAATTAGATTTCGTTGAATCATTTTTGTTGAATATTTTCATGAGAAATTAATTAACAAATAATTACACGAATAAGATCCAATTAGTAAAGGTAGCCATAGAATAACAAGACAACGATAGATAAGGTAGTGTTTGTGCAGACATTTCTTTTTGTCTTTCTCGATGACTTTACCTTTTCTTTCTCTCTCTCTCTTCGATACTGTTTAGTTTCTACACCGGTCCGTCGAATATTAAAATCCGTCTTCTTCGTTTTTTACATTTATCTCCTTCAAATACATAATGTTGCATCGAAGAAAAATAGAAAAAAGAAAACATTTATCATCACTAATGTATTACTTCACCCAACGATTGAGTCATTGAAGCGTTCAAAAAAGAAAAAATATGAATTACAAAAATATTGTATAAAAATAGCAATAAAGTGTCGGGTAGATTATTGTATGTGCATGCAAAACAATTAGAATGATGAAAAAAGAAGTAGATTAAAATAAATGCACTTACATTATACCATGGTTTCTTTTTTCTTGATGTTATTGCTGATGGAGAAGATTTTTCTTGTGCTATTTGCTTCACAGTTTTCAATGATGGAATATTATTTGAATCGGTTTTTGTTGATGATTTTCTTCTAATCTGATTTAGTGAATTATTACTTATTTGTGATTCATTACTTGTTGTACTAGCTGAAGATAATTCAAGTTCTATTGCAGATGGAATATCTTCTGTACTTGTACATTTGAAAGGTTCACTTTTATTTCGCCTATGATCTATTCGACGTTGTTTTGTTTCAAGGAAAGATGATGATGATGGATTTAATTGATTAATTGAATCGTTTTGTTCTAATGATAAGTCTGAATTAAACGATGGTGACGTTACAACAACCATTTTGGCATTGGCTATTTCAGTATTTGAAAGACATTCTACAACTGGAACAGTTTCAATATTCGAAGATTCTTCATTAAGTGTACCGATCTTATCTATTGTCAAACTATTTGATCGTTGAGTATCTGTAAGCAATGATGAAGATATTAATATGACTTGATCGTTTTCTTCTATTGGAGTTTGAGGAATTGGAGAGATTTCCGATGATGAACTATTTAAACAGAAACTTTATTTTATATTTATATGTTGTTCAGAAAATCAATATTTTGACATCTTTTTTTAATTTAATAAAAAAATGAGCAGCAATTTTACCTGAGTCTCTGCATATTCTTAGCAAGAATATTATCAAGCAAAGGCAGAGAAGCCATTCGACGATGAACAAATTTTTTCATAGTCGATAATATTTCAGTACTGCATTTAATTTAAAGAAAAAAACTGTTATTAAAAATTTTCTTTCCTTTCTTTTTTTTTAGATGAAACTAAAAGTATCGTATGATTCTGGTTACACCTCTCAACGAACGAGAGAGATAACAATTTTTGTTTCTTTTTTCTTTTTTCTTTTTTCTTCATCTACGTTCAACAGCTATTTATCTCACCTTTCTAGTGTTTCCTTCGATGACATAACAGTTGATATTTGAAATATTATTATGAAAATCTGAAATAAGAAGTATACGATTGAGTTCTAGACAATTCAGACAACAAAAAAAATCTATCTGTTTTTATATCTATGCGAGAAATAAAAAGCAAGAATAGTCACAAAAACCATGTATGAAGCTTGATGAAAGTACAGTAATATTGGACAAAATATTTTATTCGCTTTATCCGATTGGCTTAAATGGAAAGAAAGTTGGTTTCGCTTAAATGAAAAAAATAGATAAGAAATAATCGATAAACAAAAGAAAAAAAATGACGAAAGTAGAACGAAAATTAATAAATAATAAATGAAAGATCAGCTGCCTTCAACTCAAATGCTAGTTGCTGAAGTTAGTATTGAACGCATCGACTAAATTATTCCCTCGTCGCTAAACTATTGTCGTAGAACAACAATTATTTTACTTTTGTCTATGAATAAAATAAGTTAAATAAACAATTTAAAAAAAAATGAGAAAAAAAGCTTCTTTATTATCGATGCGGTCATGTTATGATGTAGATAATGAAAGTCTATTTCCATTGTAGAATGAAAAAAAAGGGGTACATATTTAAAATGGGACAACAAGAAATGTAAAGTGAATATTCATCTTACCGATTTGCATTAAAAAAGTCTTATGCAACATTTTCACGCTAAAAAACAACGATAACGTCTGCATGCATTTTATCGGCGTATATTTTTCTTATTTTTCATGAAATCAGTTTCAAAAAGTATTATACAATGTAACAGAGAGAAATCTATAGTTTTATTTCTATTAGAAAACTAAATAATTTAGTCTACACGTAAAATCTGCTGGGCAAAGTACAGAGATAGAATTGAAACAAAGAGATTGTCATCTATTCGAACTATCAAAGATATACGAATGATAAGAGACCGATTCTTGTTAACATAGAAAGGACATTTTATTCGTTGCATGTCTCAAAACAAAATTAATATATGTCCCGGGAAAGAATTATTCATAATTAAATATATTTCTAAGAAATTCAATTATAAAGGTTATTATTCGAAATGACACTTTATGCACTGACAATATCTATCTTATTAGAAATCGAATAAACATAAAAAAAATACTATGCTGACATCGATCGATGAGAATTTCTTTAAATAGAACAACGAGGAATTACATTTTATATTGCCATAATCAAAATCAATTGAGGTATTTTCTGAACTATAATTTATATAAACACGTGAACTCATTAACGACTGCATTTTATTAATCACTTGAAATATAATTTAGAAAAAATGAATTCAGTGCTCTAAATAGGTTCAAAATTATTACTAACATTAAGTCAATTTTATTCGGAGAGATTTTGTTCAGAAAAAAAAACTGAAGTGTCTGAATGAAAGCATTAGTTCGTGTCATCGAAACACCAATAACTCTACAGTAAAAGACTCTTAAGTCTGTAATTGAGCTTTTCATATGAACATTTGCATGAATAAACTGTACCTGATACTTTTTGTGAAAATAAATGAATGTTAATAGTATTTAAAAGAAAGAAGATATTCTAAGGCAATTGAAAATCACTTCAGGCCTTCAAAATATTCTTAACGACATAATGATACTTCAAGTTTCACGAATACGTAATAGACAGTACTTTTTCCATGCGTTATGAAGAATCAAGCCCACAATTAATACAATCATACTAACATTAATTTTATTATCTACATAATCTTTGAAAATAGAAAAAATGCAAAGAAAAGTCATAATCACCAAAACAATGATTACCAGCATAAAGTTTCAAAGTATAATCTCATACGGTCACACGTTTACAAATGCAATTGAACTGTTAGATACTCACTCTCTAAATAATTGGTTAGATATTAGTATTGCAGCAGCTTGTATTCATACAATAGAATCTTCATTTTAATGATTATGATTATCAATATTATTTGAATCTAACTCCTGCACGTTCGAAATTATTTTATTCAATGGATGAATCTGATGTAAATAAAAATTCAACTGCATCATCAGCTCGTCATTTTAAGGCTAAGACAGTTTGCTGACGATTCAATGATAATGTGAATGTAGATAATTTAGAGGGAGAGTTCTTTCCAATATTCAGTTTATACAAAAAAGAAGTATTGATTTCAGAAATAGCAGTAACTTTATATTATGAGAAATACATACTGCAACTGTTTTTGAATTGTTCATATGCGCATCAGTCACAGATAGTTAGGTTTGTTTTGTTCAATCATTCATTTTCACAGTGAGATTTGACATACTCACGACGATTACGATAGTGGTTCACCAAACCATAGTAATAATAGAAAAACAATTAAGAGAGAAGGTTTACTTTGAAATAAAATAAAATTTGATAATAATAAATGGCTTCTTCACTATTAAAGTTTCCGTGTGCGTTTGTAAATCACCATCACAATTCCTTATTTGTGAAACATTGGTTTCCATTGCATTTATTACGATTGTACTTCTACATTTTGTGTCTGTGTATAATCAAGATTATGTTCAAGTACTTTTTATAAATGATAAATCGAGTAAGAAAAGTGTTTTATATCCGTTGGATTGTAGTAATACGTAGTAAAACACCCATCGATATCAATATAAATATCAAGCCAATTATTGGAAAAATATGATAAATCTCTCTCTCTCTCTCTATATATATATATATAGTTATTATGTACTATCATGTTGATAAAAGGTTATTATTTTAATGTCATATCTATATTGTTTCACATTTCAGACAAAAAAGAAGAATGAGATAGCCATGTTACACTTACTGTTTGGCTCTAATACGTTCGTCTTGATTGTGTTGAGTTCAAAACTAATTGAAAAGTTTACACGCGATTTTCAGGAAAAGAAAGAAATACTAATTATACGTCATATCTAGAGAAGAATAAAAGAACTAGATAGAAAAATCATCCGTGAAGTAAGCCACCCGTGCCATCACGAGATGAGTCATTTAATTATGTTGACTGTCATTTCTTTGATTATAATTGGTCTACTAAGTTTTGTCATGATTAATTCATTTAGATCTATATCAATTGTAACAAGCATCTACTGACAAAAAATAAAAGGTTAAAAATATGATAGAAAATATAATGATAGATGTCTCTCCTTAACAATAACTCTACATATAATATTGATAATCATTAAAACACCGTCAGGAAGTCACTTGTATTGTATTGCAGTCTAGCATTAGTACACATACGGGGAATATATGTTGAGCCATATTATATGGCGGCGGAACGATTTCAATCTAGGGGAGGCTCAAATTTTTTTCAGAGGATGAGAATGATGAGAGGTGAAATTGAAAACAAAAAAAATCTAGTACTAATAGGTGGTCTGTTGATAATTTATTTATGATTCTACTTTTCTCAAAACTTGTAAAATAATGAAAAATATTAGTGTAATATTTATTTTTCAGAAAATGATCAATAAGAACACAAAAATCTTAAAGCGGCCTGGCCAGGCATCGATCACACTTGCGTGGGGAAGATTCGAATTTTTTCTCGAATCGATCAAATGTGGAGAATACTTGATTTCACGCAGTTTTTTGCGCTGATTACGAATCTCTGCTCTTAAATAATTTACAGTCACATTATCATGATGAGAATCCAAATTTAAAAATGTGTCTCCTTTAAACTTGATTTCTAACTTATGAATGTTTCTTAGAAATCCTGAAACTTACCTTATCGGATAGAGAGTCGAATTCTCTACAAATTCCAACCGTTGCTCCTATCTTTGAATGAAAATTGTTTTTTTATATTTTGAAAAAATATTTAGGCTGCTTCGTTGTCAGAAGGTGTATACTCGGTTAATCTAATTTTGAAACATTATTTTTAACGGTATCAGGTAGAGGAAACCTCAAACTACTAAACGATGTGCAAACCATAAAGTTTTGAGCCGAAATGTCCCTGAAAAAATAAGCACGAAACTGTCCGCAAAAAATCCTAAAAAATTGGGAAATTCCTTAACAAAATGAAATTCCGTAACGGTCACTAATTGTTCCCTTTCGCTGCCCGGGAACTAGTCCAAGAACAATTTTAGCACAGTTTCTGTACCTCCAACTGTGGGGTTTAATTTGGTAATTGCACGATCATTTCGAAAGTAATCTGAGACAGAATAATTCTCAATTTCGACATACACCGGAAAAACATTTCCATATCTTGAAGTTCCGCAACGCTCTGTATTTTTTCAATAACTCTGCTGCGGTTGAAAGAAGACCGATGCAATTTTTACTGATAATAGTTCTAAAGGATCTCTGTCTATGGTGAAAATTTCAGATAATTTGCTTTCAATAGTGAGAAATTACAAACATCGCAATGTGAAAAAATAAAATTCCGTAATGCAAGCCCACGCCGAAAACGAATTTCAGGAGAGTAGAGTAAATAAAAACAAAGATACAAAACACTATATACAACCAAAAAAATATTTTCTACTGATCACCCTAACATACATTTTAAAAATTCATGTGGTACTTGTCACTAATCAAGATTCTGCGTTGTATTTGCCTTTGTTAGTAGTTTTGTTATCATTTTGTTAATCTTTATGAGCAGTAGACTAAGTATTAAAGAATAATCGATCGAAACTTTGCCTATCGTGTCTACGTTAAAGATGAAATCTACAACTTTTTTTCAAATTAAATGAGCCTCCCCAAGCCTAATGGGTCCGCCGCATATGACCATATAACGAAGAAAAAATGGAACTGAGAGTAGAACATTTCGTGACTATATTTTGTCTTTCATCAAGCAACATATTTTGTAAAAGAAAAAGTTAACCGATGCTACACTATTGGGCACGATGGCAATGGCTGAACCCAGGTCATTATCGATCCGTCGGTTCTTGTCGAGCGGGTTATAATTCCGATGTCACATGGTGATCGGATTCGGTCGGTTAATTTCTGGCGAATTCCGATGCTTTTCCTTGTTTTCTTCT